GGATGACTCCATTGCCCATAGTTTGTGTCCTTGTATATGAGTACTACTTCCCTCCACTTGAAGGTTTTGACCAGGGAAGCAATGGCTCAAACTTGATTGCTATCTCCGTTTAGATGAAATAAGGAGTCCGGTGAAGCACAGAAGGGCTTGTTGCTGAGAAAGAAATGATGGGTACCTCAGCTATATCTTCCACCACAAAATCAGCTTGTGCTGATTTCTGTGGACCAATTTTGGTGTCCACCTTCACTTCCTTCAACAAATCAAGGGCTGCAATATTTATATAACCAGCAATCAATTTGAAGCCGAAAGAAATAGATGAGTTAAAGTACTTGTCCGTAAAAACGTAAGATGATCAATACAGAAGCATATGTAAATATTAATTAGTAGAATATTTCCTTCTAGAACTGCTTTGCAGTATACTAATATCAACAGAGAATATAGAAATAAATAGTCCCCTGATTGATTCACCCTAGATCTCACCAATTAACCAATAGATAGCCCTGCAATCAGTTTAGCAGGTATGACCTTGATTTTTGTATATTGTCTACTAGGATTAACAGAATCTAATAGATCTAAAACTCTCATTACTGAAATATAATGCTGGGATTATGGACTAATGATAACCCTTAATTATTCTAAAGGGATGCCTGATACTCAGCTTTTTACACATACACGTCGGGCTTTTAGGCCTATAAAGATAAAAACGTAAATACCGAGATATAATAACTTGTTGATTTAAGCCCATAAAGTTCCAAAATCCTGACTTGTAGCCTTCTTTTTCTGTTTTAGTATTAAATGCTGACCATATAAGTCAAAAAAGAAAAAAGAAAAAAAGCTGAGTTAGCAAACAGCAGACTGTAATAGAGTCATGGAAGTTATGGCAACTCAATTTTATAACCTCAACTTCCATGACTCTATTAAATTTAGGACATCAATAGTGAGATTTTTCCAGGTTTATCTATTCTTAGGACATCTATTACTAGACTGTTTTTATTTATTTATTTTTTAAGATTACATATACATATAAATTGTGTTTGGTTACATATTTTTATACATATTAAAAAAATTAGCTTAAGTAGGTTACAAAATAGACTCTCTTAAATGAATTAAGAATATAAAAATCAAATATTATTATTACTTCAGCAAAAAAAAAAAAAAAGAAAGATCCACTCCCAAAAAGTCTACCAAAAAAATCCTCAAAATTAATTTTGTTATATAAAAGAAGCGATTTGTTTTTATCTGCACCACTATCCCTAATAATAAATAAGTTAAAGGAAAAACATTATTTTCACATATATATTTGTCGAAAATTACTTGTAATTTGAAAAAGTTCTCAAAAAAAAAATTCAAAAAGCACTTTAAAAAATATACCGAGTAAATAAATTGACTCTCTCTTTCCCATCATAATGGGAAAAAAAATTGATTTTCTTTCTTCACTCCCTTACGCGGAGAAGAAAAAGACTAGGGAGAGTGAGAATGGAGCGGAGGGCCTTCGGATCAACGACTAGGAAATGCACAAGAACACAAAAAGTAAATGTGTAAAGGAAATTTATGCGCACCGCGTGAAAGCTGCATGGAAATGAGCGAACCAAAAGGGAAATTTCACCCGTTAGTGCACGCAAGCAAGTGAAATTACTGAAATTAAAAATCACATTGATGGTTATCAAAAGATTGAAGTGTACATAAATTGCCTTTAACTTTTTGGATTCATAAGAAGACTGGATAGTTGCATATCAGGCGTCCAAGTCAAGCCCACTTAGCAGAAATTCTGCATAAAATAAGCTTTTATTTTTCTAGTTGATTTTTTTTTGAACAGTTTATTGATAGGATAATTAATTAAGCAATATTGCTTCATGTATCACTTGCTTATTGTTGTTGAAATAAGTGAAATTCTCTTCTGTCTCATTATTTTTTAACTTTAAATGCCATGTATTCTCTCTTTCTTGAGTCCCAAGTGGCAGCACACTGAAAGCAACGCATTTTGTCCTGGGCAACCAATTCCAAATTCTACTACTTATCAATGAGATTCGACAAAAGTAAGGATTTAATAAGAAACAAACCTAAAACAGAATCACTCTTTCCAATTTGTTATAGCATTTGGGAAATTAAGAATGACTTATGAATGCTTGGTCAACTAGCAGAAGAGGTGCGGCTGTTCTTGAATTCCTCTCAAGGATATTTTCTTGCAGTTTCTCCAACAGAGCGACGCCCATAATAATTAGACTCTTCCCCCTTCCTCCTCTCTCAACCCTAGAAAAAGGAAATACAAATTAATTGAATTAAAACAGATATTAGAAGATAGAATAACAATAAAAACGGATTCAATAGTTGCCTAGATCGCCTTAATTACTACTTAGGTCAACTGTGGTTTTTTAAATGTTGCAGCAAAGAGTCATAAATCATAAAGCATGTTTATTTAGTATTATAAGAATACTGCTCCTGAAGCAAAGTAAATAAGATATATAACCGTTTAGAGAAATATTTTTTGTCTCTCTTTAGTTTATTATCAGTAGACAGGAAAAAAAAATAATTAAATTTATCAAGTATTCTGATGCCACTCAATTAGAAAACCCTTAATATTTTCTCATGAAGCCAGAATTTAATCCACCATGTTTAATTAAATTAGTATTATCCTCTTTTTCCCAACTTCAACAAATTTTCTTTTGTGATTTCTATACTTTCTAATAACAATCAAAGAAAATCCATCTTATATGTCGCCATTAGAAGAGCTTATTAAGCAATGGTATATATATTACATGTGAAACCACAAAAAATATAAATATAGTTTACATATATAACAGCAGCAGCAGCTTCAATGACTTGGCTTTTAGAGTTTCTCTGACATGGAGAAGCAGCCTGGTTTTGTAGTTGTCATGAGCTGCATAAAAATCAGACCAGCCATTGTTATGCAGCTCGGTCCCATAAGCATGCAAAAACTTACAAACAAAACAAGAATAAGGAGTGCTGAAAGCATCTCCTAACAGCTCTTCCTTGTTGTATCATCACACGCGGAAAGACCGCCCTAATAGCTTTGGTTCTTCATTAATTGAGAGGTATAGGAAAACTCATCCACCATTTAATTGGGTTGACGGTTCTAAGGGAAAACTGAAGATTAAAATAACGGGAATCGAGTTATCCTTCTGCAGAGACGAGGACGATTGGATGGTTCAAACGTAATCCCAAGACTAGATGGAAGGTTCCTGGGTTGGTGAACTCCCCTTATTTACCAAGAATGTACACAGACTCAAGTCATCATCAATCTGTCCAAGGACCAATATCTAAGTGCTTAGCGAAGCTAATCTTGTATTTATAACTGTAGCTTTGTTAACAACTTCTCTCCAGAATCTCTATTCATTTCATGCGGGTGTATTGGAAAAACAAAAAAATATAAAAAATGAGAGAGAGCTACCGAATTGACCCATTTGGCCTCCGGTTATTTTTTTTAAGGTCAAATGAGCATTGATCTGACCAAAAAAATATTAAAATTAAAATTAAAATTTGATTCTCTACCTTATTTATGAAAATATAATATAGGAAGTTCAAATAAAAATGGTATAACATTTTTGAAAAATCAAAGGCTGAAAGATGCTTTCAGACTTCTTCTCTTCCTAGTTATATAATATATGATTATATATGTTATATTAATTGACTTCGTCAAAGCAAATGCATGCAAGTAGCTGGTCGAGGTTTTCTTTAATAATCAAAAAAGAAAAAGAAAAAGAAAAAACCCACCCCGACATGTTTGTATATATGCCTGCGTTCTTGCAATTAGACTAACGATAATAGATTATTCTTTCAATTTCAGAATTCAAACAAAACGTTTTTCTTTTGACTGGATTGGTTTTCAATCTGAATTTTCTTTTCCACCGGAAAAGAACTAACGTAATACCTCCCAAAGAAGTGGCCTTCAGGAAGCAAAATGACGTTCTGTCTCGCTATTTTTCTTTGTGGAAAGTCATATACGTCAGAAATGACATAGCAGTCCATCGAAAAGGTATCCCATCAGATTGGAAACCGGTCTGTGGGATGCAAAATTTCTGACAAACATTTTACCTTTTCCAATCGCCATTACCTGTTAGAACGGAATTTTGTTTTATCTTAAAATATTTTCGATGACTCGTTCGTTAGAAATGTGCAAAGTAAAATAAAAAAGAATTTCCAACGGACTCCAATTGTCGGAAATTTAGTCCAAAAATCTTTTTTATTTTTTATATATTATTTATATGTTATTATTTCTATTTTGTAACTATAATTATTAATAATAATTTATAAACTATTATATAAGCTACTGTTACTAATTTATATAATCTCCAAGTTACAAGATATTATTACATATTTTATATAATTTATAAGTTATTATATAAATTATTATTATTAATTTATATGATATTTAAATTATAGGTAATTATTATTATTACTAGGATAAAATAAGAATTTTATTAATGTTGAGTATTTGAAATTCTAAAATTAGAATTATTAGTGTATGAAAATTTTTGGAAGAGACCCCAGAACTAATTAGTTCAAAATATGGGGTATTGGAAGTAAATTGATGGATTTGCTTGCTTATTGGTGGGTAATTTGCATTAAAAGCTTAATAATGGAGAGCCATGGCAAACTACATTCACTTTTGTCTTCACTAAAAACCAAATTGGTATTTCTTAATTAAGTAACCTCAAAAGTAAGTAACACTTTTCTTTATTTATTTTTTCAGTTTAATGAGTTAGAAATCTGTCTTTAGGAAACAGATTAGCAGCCATAGTTCGTTGAAATAACTTACTGCAATGTACTTGAAATTTCAGAAGAACTCGAGCTTTTCCCATGCTCGTTCGCAATCGTTATTGGTCAAGGTCTAGTTTAAGAGTTTTTCCATTTTTCTGCCCAGACCAAATCCTACGCTTATTTTTTATTGGTCAGAGTCAAACTCCAAGGGACACGGTCCTAACGCGTTCTCAGGGGCTGCGTCGAGTGTGTACAGCGGCCCCACCGGCCAAGTCTACAAAATGAACAGCCTCCATGGGAGCTCACCAGCATGTGCATGGCAATGACACAAAAATTAAAAAAGAAATAACTATCACTCTCTCAATAGCCTCTCCTGTCTCCACTATAACCCTTTCTTAACACCTCCATGCCAAAGCACAAACCTTCTTGAAGATGCTCTTCCCTCAAATCTTAATATTGCTGCTCCCAACCTCTTACCTATGTCAAAATGCTCTCGCATCATCTACTGTCGATGTGGGGCTGATTCTTGATCTGGGCAGTTTAGTCGGAAAGACGAGCCTGACGTGCATGTCCATGGCGCTTGAAGATTTCTACTCAAGTCACAACCGTACCACAAGGATTCGCCTCCATGTCAGAGATTCCAAGGACGACGTCGTTCAGGCAGCCTCTTCTGGTATATAGCAGACAATACCTTCTTCAATCTTTGTCCTTTCCCAATCGTTAGAAAAACTCATCCATTTTACATATAATTTTACTTGCAGCTATAGATTTGTTGAAGAACGTTCAGGTACAGGCAATACTAGGCCACTCAATATCCGCGCAAGCAGATTTCGTGATTGACATTGGCAAAAAAAGTCGAGTTCCTATAATTTCTTCGGCAACGAGCCCTTCTCTCTCGCCGATCGAGAACCCATACTTCATCGGGGCGGCGCAAAGCGGGTCCTCTCAGGTCAAAGCCATCACTGCTCTGTTCAAGATCTTTAATTGGAGAGAAGTGGCTTTGATTTACGAGGAGGGCGAGTATAGAAGAGGAATTGTTCCTTACTTAACCGATCAATTGGCACAAATGGTACCCAGGTGAGGTATCGAAGCGTGATCTCTGTATCAGCTTCAGATGATTTTATCCTTAAAGAAATGCACAAGCTCATGAGATTGGAGAACAGGGTGTTTGTAGTGCACATGTCACCCTCTCTCGCTTCTCGCTTTTTTTTTGAAAGCAAAAGAAGCAGGGATGACGAGGAAAGGATATGCATGGATCATAACAGACGTGCTCACAAGCTTCTTCGATTATTTAGAACCCTCTGTCAAAGACTCCATGCAAGGGGTGATAGGAGTGAAGCCTCATGTCCCAAATTCGCCTCAGCTTGACAATTTCACTAGCAGATGGAGAGCGAGGTTTCGCCAAGAGAACCCAGAAATAACTAGGTTTGAACTGAATGTGTTTGGTTTGTGGGCATATGACACTGTCACAGCATTAGCCCTGGCAGTGGAAAGAGCAGGTGTTTCTCAGTCGGAGTTCAAGAAAACCGAACCTGCCAGAAACTCAAAGATTTGGCAGGAATTGGAGTTTCAGAAAATGGTCCAAAGCTGCTTCAATCAATCCGGAACATCAGCTTGAACAGGGCTTAAGTGGAGAGTTTCATCTCGTCAATGGCCAGTTACAATCATCAGCCATAGAAATAGTCAATGTAATGGAAAGGGGTGGGAGGAGAATTGGATTTTGGACTCCTCAATATGGATATCCAAGAATCTGGAACCAGGTAACAAAATTAAGAGCACCAATAGTAAAAATTTTGGGCCTATAATGTGGCCTGGTGCCTCCGTTTCCGCGCCCAAAGGTTGGGAAATTCCGACGTGTACTGAAAGAAGATGAGGATTGGAATTCCTGCGAAAACTGGTGATTTAGGTGAATTCATAAAATTTAAAAGAGATTCCCAAACTAATGGTGTGAACGCCAGTGGTCTATGCGTAGATTTGTTCAGAGAGGTGATGGGTCATGGCCTTACCCGTTCAGTACGAGTTTATTCCCTTTGAAACTTCTGATGGACAGAGTGCTGGAAGCTACGATGATCTGGTCTACCAGATCTTTCTTGGGGTAAGCAATTTTTTTTTTTTTCTTCTCTAGCCGTGAATAAAGTAAAGTTTCTGATGCGTTGAAAATTGATGCGCAGAAGTACGATGCTGTGGTGGGTGATGTGACGATTACAGCGAACCGATCACGGTACGTCGAATTTACAGTGCCATTCATGGAGTCAGGGTGGCGATGGTGGTTCCAATAAAGAAAGACGAGAGGAAGAATTGGTTGATTTTCATGCAACCTCTAACAAAGGATATGTGGTTAACGACGGCGGCCTTTTTCGTATTCATAGGATTCGTAGTGTGGGTTCTGGAGCATCGCGTAAACAGAGAATTCAGAGGGCCACCTCTCCAGCAAGTAGGCACGGTATTCTGGTTCTCCTTCTCAGGCCTCGTTTTTGCCCAAAGTAAGTCCTCTTTGTCCATTCATTACCCCATTGAGAAATTATAAATACTAAAACTATGACAGGGCTAATCATTAGGAAGCAATCTCGAAACATTAATTTGTTTAAAAAACCCGCTGTCCAAAACAGCAACCCAAACCGTTTGCAAGAATAAAAAACAGAAAACAAAACTGACCCTAACTATTTTTGTTAAAAATTTAAAGTATATATTTTAACATTTGTGTATAAAATGAATAGGTGAAAAACAATCATACAAACCAACACTAAGGCCTAATTTTAATTTGTTGCAGGAGAGAGGGTAAACAACAACTTGGCAAGATTTGTGTTAACGGTGTGGATGTTGGTGGTGCTGGTACTACAGTCTAGTTATACAGCAAGCTTATCAACAATGTTAACAGCAGATAAGCTGGGACCAACTGTGAGAGACATCAAGGATCTTCTCAATAATGGAGGCAACGTTGGGTACCAGCAGGGTTCTTTTGTTGACGGCTTCTTGAAGAATATGCGTTTTAATTCCTCCAAGTTCAGGAATTACAGCTCTTTCAAAGAGTATGAGGAAGCACTTTCTAAAGAAGTAAGAATGGAGGAGTGGCTGCCATTGTTGACGAGCTCCCCTATTTAAAGCTCTTTCTTAAAAAATACCGCAACAAGTACATGATGGTTGGACCAATTTACAGGACTACGGGCTTGGGATTTGTAAGTTTCCGTCCCTTGAATTCTTTTCCGTTTTGTGCCCGGGTTTTCAAAATTAGTCTTATGCATTATCATTTAAGTTGAAAAAGCTAAAAGAAAAATGTTAAAAAATTGCTAATTAAGGCTAAAGTAGTGTCTGCAACAATTTGTTAAGGTGATTTTAAGTTTTTTAATACATAGAATTTTTTTTTTTTGAAGCATTTGAAAACTTGCTTCTAATTTTTACTTTTTTTTTTATTTAAGTAAGAAAAAAGTAGAATTATAAGTAAATTTCAGAAATATGCATAAGGAGGTGTATACTTCTAGTTATGAATAGTATTATAGTAGTTAAATAAAAACTATTTAAAACTTTTTTCTGAATTTTTTTCTTAATTTAAAATTATCCCATGAAATTTTTTTGGTATTTTCTATTTTTTTTTCCAAAATTGTTAAATTTTATAAAACAAATTACAAAATTTATATCCCAAAAATCTATATTACTACTTTTAAACTTTATAACATATTTTATAAATACATGAACTGTTAATTATAATTCAGTTTCACATAAATCTACCCACTTTTACCTTCCTCAATTTTAAAATTTGTACGAGTATTTGTAAAATACCGCCAAAGGAGTCTGGGGATTCTTAAGCTGCAGGCCATATTAGCTTCTGAATCTGTTTTGTGACAATTAACATAATAGGCATTTCCAAAGGGATCTCCCCTAGCACCCGAGGTTTCGAAAGCCATTTTAAAACTAGTGGGAAGAAGGTAAAGTAGCTGACATTCAACGCAAGAGGCTCGGGGAAGAAATTAGCAACCATATGGAAGAAGAAGAAGATGGGTTCAAAGACTCCTCGGACAGCCTCACGCTCGACAGCTTCAAAGGTCTCTTCGTCATTGCAGGGGCATCTTCCTGTTTGGCTCTCATTATATTCCTTTCTATCTTCCTGTGCGAGAACAGAGAAATACTCGTTTCCAACGCCTCGCTCAGGCAAAAGCTTGTTGCCATGGCTAAAAGCTTTGACGAGGAAAGAGAGAAGAAGCTCGTGAAGAAGAAAACAGATGAAGGGGAGAGTACAAGATTGCCCGACACGTGGTTCACATATCTCGGGATTTTTCTCGTCATGGTGATGAAGGGTTCTCTGCACCAGAACATGATACATGTACCTTAGAAATGGTATACAGGAACTAATCATATAACAAAAATTGGAGAAAATTTGCAGACATCAACCAAAGAGGCTGCTTCATAGCAACGTTAATTTCGGGGAACATTCGCGTAACTTCGCTGTCGGCATTTTTATTGTACAATCACACTCTTTTCAACTTCACATTTTATAAATTTTAGGTTAAAAAAATAAGAACTGGGTATTGGAAATATTACAAATTAATTTTATTTTAGTTTTTGATAATTCAAATGGATGAAAAATATGTCCTACAAAATCCACCATGGAACATATAATATAAATAAGTTGTTATTTTATTAACTTCATTCTCCAATTACGAAGTGAATAAAGTGATAATGTTTAGTGAACTACATTTATTGCGTTGTACATGGAGTCAAGTTGTCAAAACCCAGACTTAAAGCGACTATTGGAGCTTGACGTAGTGGCCACCCAACCCATATTTTAAGTCGAGCTTTTTACCATTGCAGTAAATTTTAATCTTTTTAATTCAATTTAAAAAAAGTAAAATTATATTGTGTAATCGGCTTGAGAAGTGTAAAGTTAAAAGCTGATTTGAAAATAAAAAAAACAAATTTAAATTGTTTAAAATAGCTTTAACAGCTTAATTTTTAAGTTTTAGAAATTTGAAAAAAAAATAAATACACAAAACTTGATAAACCCCCTGGAATTTGAAGAAATCAGATTTTTCAAGACCCTAAATTGAACTAGTTACAGTAACTAGTTTCTCTAAACCTAGAATTAGACATCAATAAGGTTTGACAAGGGAAGCCGTTCTTAGTTTATTAAAGAGTAAGTGGAGCTATTGGGTAATTTATTTGTGGCGTGATATCCAGCAAATACCGACAGTGCTCTGTGCGTTGTGGGGAAGGTGAAGACGCAGTCTCCTGTGCGCCTCAAAATTTCAACTTTCCCAAGAGGCCACTGCTTCTAGGCAGCTTTCTCAGTGGTACCGTACACCAACTTAAGCAGCTTACATGTTCAATTTTACTTGATTAATTAGTTATTTGAAAAAGAAAAGAAAAGAAAAGAGGGCTAAGTCATATAAATATCCTAAATGAATTAAATTGGGTTTTTTTGGGGATTTTTTTTATTTCCTTGAATAACCGGTTTAATAATCTTCATCTTGTGAGAACGTTTACTTGCAAGCATTTCCAAAGGGATCTCCCTTAGTACCGGATGTTTCAAGAGCGATCTTAGGTGTGACGGAGGGAGACAAAATGCTGAAGTCGAGAGAGAGTGGTTTGGGGAGGAAACTAGCTGCGCAAAACAAAATGGTTGATAACTTGATGGTAAACTCGGATAGCCTCACCCTGGACAGTTTAATAGCCGGGTTTCTTCTTTTTCGCTCTGGTCATATTCATTGCCATTTTCCGGTACTAAAATAAAACGTGGATATTCTAATCTCTGTGGAACCAGTCCGACAAAAGCTCACTGCCATGGCTAAAAACTTTGATGTGAAAAGGAGGACCTTTCCTCTGATGTATCCAAGAAAAGAAAAGCAAAATATGGAGGGAAGGAATTAGTGTCTGCAGAAGGTGCAGTTCCACAAAAGCTAGCTTGGACTGGCCTCAGAGTCCAGCAACCGGCAATTTCTCATCATACAGAAGGGATGTTCTCTAGAGATGGATTTCTAGAGAATTTTCTACCATGCCACGAGCCTGAACCCCGGTCCATGCTACCCAAAATTGTACACTACCCCAGAACGATAGTACAGTTGTTGCCTTGCCCAAAGCATTCAGGTTACCAGTTGTAGACATGAACCCCTTAATCTATATTATGGTTGGGAACTAGGAGTTGTGCAGCCCTTGCTGCAATCACTAATTTTAGGTACAAATGTGAATTACTTGTTGTATATTGCACTGTTGAGCTGCAGCCTTGTAATTTGAAATAGAGTTTCATAAAATATACATAGCCGTGAAAGGATAATTAATCTCTATGCACATTTGGAATGATGAAGAGAAAAAATAAAGAGGAAACCATGAAAACAGATACAAGGCACTTCTAAAGGCCATGTATTTTGTATGGATTTAAAGTATAATGACCTCCATAGCTGATGTCTCCCTGGAAGAAAGTGAAGAAATTTGGATACCAAATAAGACAACAAGATAGCACTTGACCCTGCGCTAGAGTGGCAAAAACAATCATAATGGCCGACAAATTTGGACTTACAGTAAATTGATGAGGTCAACATTTACACAAACTCAAATGCTCTGACAACTTGAGAACCAAAAATTCCTGACGTCGTGATGATATGACACCAAAACACCAAATGGAAGGGTCATCTATTAAAACACAAGGAAAATAACCAATTGGACAAAAAAAAATTAGAAGAAAAATGATTAGAAAGCTCGATATGAATGCAAGAGCTGCTTATAAGTCAATGAAGGGTTTTGATTGTTGTCTACTTTACAAAGGATAAGAAAATGCATATTAAGAAATTCCTTGAGATTTGAAGGTTAATCAAGATTAAACCAGTTTGAGTTTTTCTTGAGCTGCAAGTCATATTGCCTTCTAAATCTGTTTTGTGACAATTAACATTATAGGCATTTCCAAAGGGATCTCGCCTAGCACCCGAGGTTTCGAGGGCCATTTTGAAAGTAGTAGGAGGTAAAGCAGCTGAGATTCAACGCGAGAGGCTCGGGAAAGAAATTAGCAATGACAGGAAATAACAGGGAAACACTTAATTCCAACGCGTCGCTCCGGCAAAAGCTTGTTGCCGTGTTGCCGTGGCTAAAAGCTTTGGCGAGGAAAAGGAGAACAAGCTTGCGCAGAAAGCAAATGAAGGGATAGTAAAAGAATTGCCCACCATGTAGTTCACATATCTTGAGATTTTCTCATCATGGGGATGAAGGGTTCTCTAAATCGGGACATGATACACGTACCTTAGAAATGGTTTGCAGAGCTAATCATATAATAAAAATTGGACAACATTTGCAAACATCATCCGAAGAGGATACTTCACAGCAACGTCAATTTCGAGAAACATTCGCGTAACTTTGCTGCCTGCATAATCATATAAATTATATAATCATCAATCAATTTGAGAATGAGTGTCAAGGATAATCCCCGGACTTGAGCTCTTAATTAATGTTAATCTTCTACTAAAATAAGTCGAGTTTCAACTGAAGCAGACTTTCAAATCCATTACTTAATTAGTAATATTGCAATTTCCCCCTACTTGCAGGTACGTAGCTTACTCCTCAATATTCTTATTATTCTATTATTTTTATACCAATTTAAATAATTTTTATACCAATCAAATGGGCGATGCTGCGGGCAGTCTCTTTGTCTCTTTCCTTCTCTTTTAGTATTCAATGTCAGCATTTTTTCATAAATTTTTAAATTAATAAAAATAAGAACTGGGTATTGAAAATATCTTATGATTAAATTTTGTTAATTTCTGATAATTTTTCAAATGGTTGCAAAATATGTCCTACACAATCCATCATGGAAAATATAATATAAATAGGTTATGAGTTTATGAACATTATTCTCCAATTATAATAAAGTTATATTGATTGTTCAATTACATTTATTACATGGTACATACATGCAGTCAAGTTGTCAACAGTCGGTTCATCAGATTCTCCATTAATCAAGACCCAGACTTGAAGCCACCTTGCTTGACGCAATGGCCACCCAACAACCCTATAAATTTAATCAATTAGTCCGGCTTCTAACGTCAACTATCATTGCAGTAAATATAATCTATTTTGAGGTTTTAATTTATTAAAGAATAAGCGCAGTTACTGAGTAATTTCTTTGTGACGTGATACCTTGCAAGCTGGTCTCCCGGGAAGGAAGACGATTGATCATACCAACGGAGCAAATACTAATTTACAGTGGTTTGTGCCTTGTGAGAGAAGGTAAAGACGCCGTCCCGTGCGCTTCAAAATTTCAACTTTCCCAAGAGGCTTCTGCTTCTAGGCAGCTTCCTCAATGGGAGTAGAGTTCCCCACTGAAGCCGCTTGCGCGTTCAATTTTATTTAATTAATTAGTTAAATTAATTATTAAAAAAAAGAAAATAAAAGAAAAAGCAAGTCATGCAGGCGTCCTCAATGAATTAAATAGGGCAGAATCATGATGTGGGCTCTCTCTTTCCTGCTCCCTTGAATCTTTCAGTACTAAATCTGCATGTAATCCAATCACAAGTACATGGTAAAATAACGTTTGCTTCAACTTCCAAATTTTGATTCTTCTCCATTGACTCGGATATGTAGCCTTCACCTGCTACACACGGCAAGCCCCATCTGTCCAAGACACGAGGAAATTTGGTTTTATATTTGGAACCCACTTCGAATTAATACCGCCTTAACTGTCACGGCAGATGGGTTGAAATTAAAATCATCTAAGTTGAAAATCATACTACTAATACTTAAAAGCAAAACTTTTGATTCCGGAGACCCTTTTGAAGCTCAAAATATATATGGGTATGCATCTTTTCACCTCGTAGGTTAGTCCATCAATTTATAGAATAACTCTTTGCCGAGTAGGTGTCATCAAGTGGAGGGTATTTTGGTAGAAATTTTTGTTGAAAAAGCACTAAAGAATTCTTAATGTTTCTAACTTTTAAAACATCTTAATTATTAGGTTTTTTTCCTTAAATTTCAAAATATTTTGCATCAACTATCCACTAAATTTTTGCTTCCAAAAGGCAATGTCTTCTCTGCATGAGCTTGTTATTTGAATCTGTAATTAGGTAGAGTGTTATCATCTTTCACGATATGATTGGACAGTGCTCACAAAGTCAACAAGTTAATAAAGCAATAGTCTTTAATGCAAAATTTAGTATTTTATTAGCACAATTTATGTGTAGACGTAATTGAAAAAAAAATGCTTATATAAGAAGATGGTATACACAACTCAATTCAAAGGAAATTCCCCGTATGAAAACTAATTTATTTTAGATTTTAAAATTGTTATTCTGGTCTCTTTTTTTTGTCTTTATTTTATACATTAAAGGAATATATCGAGAGATAGGAAGGTAA